TAAACAAACATTGGAGAAAACCAGCAATACAATAGGCGTGTACTATGGAAAACTCATTACAGGCGATCAATGGGAGGTAATTTAGTATATTTCTTTAAAAAAAATTAATTTTTTTAACAGTTTGACTCGATATCAGTATTTTAGAGCACTCAAGATTTACAACAAAATAGATCAGTTTGATTCAGGACCGTATTTAGGTTTTTCGAGGCCCTATAAGCAGAAGTTTTTCAAAATCCCCCCCCCCCTCATCCCCACCTCTTGCATGTGAGAAGTGAAGCGAATTGCGAGAGCAAACGCAAAGCGTTCATAGGCGAGCGCACGATGCGAGCAAGATTAGAAAAAAATGGAGACTAGGGGAACACTGTAAGCTCCTCAGCGGGGTCTGAATAATTTGTTTCTTGAATTTCGCTCAGAGATACTCATAGGCCATCTGCGCTACTCATCCGCGTCTAATATTAAATTAATAGATGAGGAAAGGCAAGTAATCTACACCACGTGGGGCGCGATTTTCATTACTGTTATTATTTTTTCCTTTTTACGGTAGTGAGGAACGAACAACAGATCCCTGGTTCTAGAGTCAGCCATGCTCATCACTGAACTGCGCTCATCTCGTATGAATAATATTAATATTACACTGAATTTTAGTATTGTCCTCATCACATTATGACACAGAATATAGCTTATTGTTATGATAGTGAGTAAAAAGAGTGAGTAGAATTTATCTGTAAAGAATGATAAATCTTCAAAGCCCATTTGCAATCACAAAACTTGTAAAAAATTGTAAACCTTTTCTTGTCACTGTCCTCAGTTTCGAACTACTGACCAGAGTTAAAACAGCCAATCAACAGCATCCATGTTAATGGGTTCACTCTTATAATGCACCCACAGCTTAGTGTGGGAAGTGTTTTGTGGTATCTCATGGTTTTTGAATCAGGCTCACTAGCTTGAAAATCCAGAGCTCTACCACATGGCCAACCCATTCCCAAATTGTTACATGAAATGCAAAATGGTCATTGAAAAAAAAAACCTTGTCATGGAGCATTTAAAGAAATGCATTTTCTAAAATAAAATTTATTACAAAGAGTTGAGTTAATAATTAGCTCAAAAAAAGCCAATTTTTTCATCCATTGTTAACAGGGTAGCAATATGAGCTCCACTTCGATTCAGTCAAATTGGAATATAAAGCAAGGAATGGAGGTTATATTAACCCTTGATTAATAAATGTACAGAGAATAACGTCTTCAGTGAACAACTTTTTTTTCTCCAAAGTGCGACCAATTTTTCCCATCAGAGCTATACATTAATAAAATAGATAATTTTCCTTCTAGGCTTTGCATTTGCAGGCCCCCTTTGAAAGCACAGGACCTTCAGCAGTGACATAGTTCACCTAATGGGAAAGTGAGTTACCCATCCATCCGGGTTTCATTCCTAGCACACATAACCTGCAATGAACAAGTTGCGTAATTTATTGTTTTCAAGAAAAACTAATTCAGTAATAGAATATTTATGTAATTGTAAATTATAAGGAATTTTTAGGTTTAAAAATAACTTTGGATGATCGTAATATTGTCTATACGAATTTTGAAGTTTGTTTTTTGTGCGTAAGAAGTTCATTTTCAATTGGTTTATAACACACCCAAACAAATGAGTTTTCTTACTAAATGTTGCTTAAGGATGACCTAAAAATACACCAGTGTATTTTAGTTGAAATAATAGCTGTTCACTAGCTGTTGGATCTCGGTCTGCCAAGTTGGTTTATTTGAATTATCTTTTGTTCTTTCAGTGCTGTTTTTGTTAATATAGAATCAAGTAGGCTTACATGATTCTACATTCTACATGATACATGGATCAAGTAGGCTTACATGATCCATGTATTTCCCTGAACCTGATCCAAGATGAATTTTTGTTGGTCAAATGAATAGATTTTATTTATTTTTTTGGTCAGAATAACACTTTTTGATTTTATTGAACTACATTAAACTTACAGAAATAATGTAAATATGTTTTGTTTTTTTTAATTTAAAGGGGACACTCAGGTTGCAGAAAAAAGTGTTTCAGTTTTGGCTTTATTTGTAAATGTATGCATTAGACTCACTTGTATTGGTCCATCATCTACGGGTTACCATTTTAGTTTCGTTAATGATAATGAACATTATTTGAGGTCTTGAAAAACATCTCAAGACACTATGAATGGGTTAAGTGAACTGGTATCTTTAACAGTGCTATCTGGTATGATATTTGAACCTTGAAAGTAACCAAGTACAAGTTCCTCAGTGAACTCACCTCATGAATTTTACCTTATGTTTAAATGTTGCTGGTAGCCTGATTCAAGATATAATACCTTAGTGAATGTTGTTGGGTTTTTTTTAATAATTCAGTAACTTGCCACAGATGACCTAAGAATGAAAGTGGTGAAAGATTTCCTTATGTTATATATAGTTCACAATGTGTATTTAAATTATCTTAAAGAAGCTAGAAAAATAACTTCTGAAACATCAGAACCTATAGTGTGTTTTGGAGTACTATAATACCATTCATGATATTGGGCACTTGGGTAGATTTCTACCAAGTGCTGTTATTAATAGGTCTTTAAAAAAAAGGGTCTTTAGTTCTTAGTGTCCTTTTTTGTATAAACATGGTCAGACTTGTTTTGTTTTCTGGTGTATAAAATGTGCTTCATAAAACTCAGTCAAACTTGTTTAGTTTTCTAGTGTATAAAATCTGCTTGCTCTTATTTAACCCTAAAAAAAAATTGATAAACTTCTTTGTTGTTTTTTTTCACTGGACTTTTATTCTTTATCATGACATCAGTGATGAGATTTCGAGATTATTATCCAAGAAAGCATCCAATAAGCCACCAGCAACACTTAAAAAATGATGGAAGTTAAAACTTAAGAAGTAGGTTCTCCGAAAAACATGCACTTTCATTGTTCATATGTTATACTCCATTACACCTTAAAACATACTTGAATTAGTTTTATACTGAAACAGTTCATAAACTCAGGGGATCAAATTATATTTAGAAGTTTTTGTTGTGGAATATAGTTATGTGGAGCAGTGTTTTTCATATTTCTTTCTCAATCCTTATAAAAAATATATTTTAATTGTCATTCTAATCTTTTTCTGAATTAATTACAATTTGTGAACTAGCTTACTTCACAAAAAATTTAAAAGATATTTAGTTGAAGTCCAAAAAAAAGGTCTTAGCTATAACTATGTTACCATGATAAGACTTAAGCCATGATAAACATAGTATGAAAAAACAACTTTCAAATACCAAGAGTAATTCCACTAATCCATGAATATTAGGGTCAGGGTCAAATGTGGTCTAGTGGTTAGTATGCTGGGCTGGGGATCAAAAGGTCCAATGTGTGCTGCTTAACATACTCTGCATTTTTGGCTAGGTGGGCATTATAATTGTGACAATCAATTTCATTATCTGGTTAAGAGTAACTCCATAGATAGTGGGTGCTGTTGACTGGTTACCCTCCCTCTGGTGAGTAGTTCTAAATTGGGGATGGCTATAACTGATCCTTAGGGGTCTCTGACCTGGCTCATATCTTGCATAAGTACACCATGTTGGAAATACCAGATACCACCATAAATAGTGTTAAACTAATTTTAAGCTAATGCTATTTCTGGATGTCAGGAGAGATAGTTGGTGTTTTTTCAAATGCAATAATTATGTTTTAAAGACATTCTTGGGGAAAAAAACTAGAAGTTTATCAGAAAAGTATGTAATGCAAAGCAAGTGTATATTAATTGACTAACATTGAAGTTGATATGTATAGTGCCATCTATTGGTTATTATTAAAATATCTTGAAAAATGACGCTGTTGAGTGTACGTAGTATTAGTTTCAAAAACAAGGTGATGTTTACTACTTCAGGTTTAGTATTGCAAAATGTTAACAAATGCTGTAGATAATGTGTCATTAAATGGTAAATTATTGTCAACCATATATGTTCCATAAACACAAAACTAAATAATAATAACAAAATCTAATTATTAAGAATAGAGTAAAATATAATGCAGTAAAGATTACACTTCATAGACTTAAGTTAAAAATATTAGTACTGTACTATGTGTAATAATAGAACATGAATTTAATTAATGGTTAAGAAGTATTAACTTAAGTGAAGTCTACATGTAGAGTATAAAATCAACAAGGCGTGACATTAGATTACAATCACATATATGTAAAAAAACTACATAAGAAAATAATGACATGCATTTTGCTCTTCAGTTGGGATAATCATGTATAACAGTGGTTCACAAACTTTTTTGTTCGTGGACCACTTCAGTGGAGCAAAAGACCCTGCAGACCACCTACTGGTCCTACCCCACCCGCTTTCTTGCTTACTACTGTAAAAAATAAAATAAACACTCATCAACATTAGTGGGAAGAATGACACAGCTGTGGTGTTGCACATCAATGACTTGCATTTTGGACCAGGCCTGTGGACCACGGATGACACTTTGAGAACCACTGGTGTATAACATGTGATCATGATTTGATATATTAAATTTTTTCTAAATAAAAGAAAAGGAAATTGTATCTGTAAATCATTAGTTATGCAAGTCTAGATGTAATAGGATGAATGTTTTATTACTCTTTTTTGTCTGTTTTCATCTGCTTTACTAATCTTTGACATGAGACATTTGAAATTGTCCAAATTGGTTATTATCAGTCAGAAATTGCATTGGCATAAAATGGAATGTAAATCACTCAAACCTCCAACACTAAAGTGATGTCAAATTGTCTTTAATAAGAACTTAAGTTTAAGCTTAGTATACAAATTATAATTTAAGGAAGTTGGATTTTTTATTGTCTGAAGTACTCATTCAGTGGTGTGGTAATGATTTAGCTTGAATTATCAAGATAGTTGTTAAACTATTATCATAAGTATTTATTTTTATGTTTTTCTTAAAGTATGACTTAATAAGCAAGTTTTCGGTATTTTCACATAAACATTGACTTTTTTTTTCTTTTCACACCAGTTAAAGAAGAAAATAGACTTCGAAGATGGCGAACCTTTCGTTGAAAATAAATGTTGTCGAAAAAAATGTTATAAAGACGATGAAATTCAAGCCATCCATGCTAGTTTATGATGCTTGTCGAACAATACGAGAAAAAATATCTGAAGCCAACTTTGGAGAATGTAAGCTTTAGTAATACTATATTATTTTATAAAAGGTTAAATTGTGTCTTAATTGTTTGTTTTTTGTGTAAAAATGTTTTCATTTTCATAATTGAAAAAAGAAATGGTAAAAATAATGAAATTCAGATCATTTAGAATGCATATTGAACCATAAGGGGAAACATATGTGAAATAGGTTTAGAAAATGGAAGTTATAGTGCTTCTTTCATGACTTGATTACAAAAGGTGTCTTACAACCGGATGTAATCTATTTGTATTCTCAAATAAAAAGAAGCTCATATAAATCATGTATGTTATAGTCTTTTAGCCAAATGCATACTTTGCACACTTACTTTTTAACTTCATAGCTCCTGAAGAACATACTTTATTATTTATACATAAATATACAAGTACAGAGTTTTAATAGATGAAAATTTCATTCCTATAGCAAAGGAATATGGACTGTTCTTAGCTGATGAGGATCCAAAAAAAGGAGTGTGGTTGGAATCAGGAAGATCTTTGGAACATTATCTTCTTCGAGATGGGGTAAGATCATGTATATGGGGACTTTTAGCTCTCATTGTTTTACCATTCTGTGATGCACTGAAGTGAAAAAATCTTATTTTGGAATTTTCAATTCCATTTATAATTTTGTTAAAGCAGTTGCTGGAATTCAACATTTTTGTTGGAAAAAAAAATAGTATTTAATTTTTATGATTGAAGTGGTCAAATTTTCTGATGAATCACACATTTATCACCATTAAGCTCAGTTTGAGAATTAATGAAATACTAACACCATAAATCATTGGGGTAGAGTTTGTATGTACTTTGAAAACACTTAAATATTGATAGACCCACATTGCAAAGCCTTAATAACCCTTGAATTTTGTTAAAATAGTCCTCGTGAGTCCTTGAAAATTAATATAACTGTGAAACATAATGTGAATCTATTTAACGTTTATTAAATTTTAAATCATATTACTAGTTGTGTATGATGCTAAAATTTCCCCTAAAACACATTAAGCAAATCATAATATTTTATTATGGTTTGGTAATTTTAAAAGCAGTGCACAGTCTCCCTTTGATTTTGCTTTGCCACCTTGTTTGCATTGTTCGTTTGAGGTATTCGATTCAAAAATGGAATGCCATGTCAAGTCATGACTTCTTGTTTCCTCTGTAAAGAAATTAAGAAAAGTGTGTACAATGGAAGATTGAACTCTTAAGTAACTACATGAAAGGTATCATTGCGACTTTTTGTGTCGTTGTTTATATTTTAAATACATAATCTTTTAATGTTGTGAATAATTTAGCTTCATTTAAGTTACAATCTACTTGCTTCTAGTTATTTTGTTTTTACTTGTTCCTTCCTTATAGGATTTGTTGGAATATAAGAAGAAGACCAGGACATTGCGTGTCAGAATGTTGGATGATGCTGTGAAGACATTACGAGTAGATGACAGTCAGCCTGTAGCCAATCTCATGGTTGTTATTTGTACGAAAATAGGTTAGTTGATTTTGTTGGTAAAGTATGGAAGAAAATGTTTCTACATTGGAATAAGATTGCATGAAAATTAAAATACTGAATTCAAAATTTGCAAGTTGAATTGTTATACCAATTGCAGGAACTATGGGATGTTGTATTTGATGTGCTATAACATATAGTTGTTGATGATTTGTATGGCTTTGGGCTTAAATGACACTTGTTACAAGTGCTTGTAATATATATATATTCAACCTTAATGTAATTGGTGCATGACTGGGTTTTGGATGGATTCTATGAAATATCACTGAATGTCCAAACGAGTCTCGATTGCCTTGAGTGAAGTATCAAATCTTGTAACATAACTTTCTTTATACAAATTGCTAAAAAGGAAAAAAATATTGCCTTTTGCTTCCTCTTTTCGATAAGTTAAAAGTCAAATTTTACACATTCAACACATTTTATAAATTTTTTTCCATAAATCTATAACATTTAGATAGATAGTCTCATAATTGTTAGAAATATAAAAAAAAGTGTATAAAATGAAACTTTTACTTGACAATTTTTTCCAAAAACTATATTTAAACAATTATTATAAGTCATTTGAAATGTTGTTGAAAATGAATGTTTTTATATATAAACTACAATTTACAGTTTTGTATAACATTACACCACTAAAGTTATTTGAAAAGATTTCAAAAAAAAATTAAATCACTTGGAAGTCTTCTAAGATTTTTTTTTATACTTTATTAAAGTGAGAAAATATACTATATGAATCCCTCGTTATTTCATTATCTTAACATTTTCAACAGTATGTAGGTATTATCATGAAGAACAAAGTATAAAGTTATGCAAAAAATACAAAATAAAGGAGAAAACATCACAAAATAAGTTACTTACAAAACTTGAATAGGCAATTTTATAGCTCATTTTGGATACTGACACTCAGAAACTACGAAATAAATAATGAGCATCACAATAGTCCATAAGTTTTTAGGTTTTGTTTTTGGAAAAGAAAATAGTTTGGTATGGAATATCATAAAATACAAAAATTCAAATAATTTAACTTCAATAAAATATCAACTCTAATTTCTAAAAGTAGATTTTTCCAACTATATAGTTCATAAAGCATGATTTGAATTTCTGTAGATTAGCAAAGTGGCACTAATGTGCCTTTCGATAATGAAAATGAGTTTATTACATTATACAAATCGATTTTTTATTAACTGATACATTATGGATTTTGTTTAAGCAAAATTATGTGTTTAAATGCCAGCAGCTGATTTTTAACTATTGTTAAATTCTGGTGGCAGTTAAAACTGCTTACTTTGATGGCTATTCTACATTAAAGTATACATATGTAAAATGTTGATTTTACTTGTGTAACTTACTGGACATTATAATTTGAAACTGTTCACAGGAATTACAAATCATGATGAATTTTCACTTGTGAGAGAACTTACTGAGGAGCCTGTTAAAGATGCCTCAACCACGGGTACACTTACCCTAAGGAGGGTATGTTATTATAAGAAGAATGTGACCAATCAAACTTGTAAAACTTGAAACTTTCATATTAAGTTTGTTTTTGGTTTGGTTGTATTTCCTATTTCCAAAAATGTCATGAGAATAATTTATCTAATAATCCTTTGTTAATAAAAATTTGCATATGCATCTTAATTAGAAAAATATTAGTATTGTAAGACAAGGTTTTTTTATAGGATAAATAATACCATATGTAAGTTAAAATAAAAAAAAAAAGATTAAAGTTAGAATACATTGTAAAATAAGTTTAATCATGTTTCTGTATATGAAAAAACAACCAAGCACAAGGCTTGTTTATAGTGAGATGGCACAGTTTTATTGTTCATTAATGAAATGTTGACAACAAGATATTCCAAATAAAATTTTATTGTCGTTTTCTGAAGATATTAATTAGATTCTGATGTATAAATCCCAAGTATGAAAAATTTGCCAGACTTGAATTTTAACAGTTACAGTTGCTTGATCAATCTTCATTTTCAACTTTTGACTGATTTTGTTTGTACTTGTTCATTAACTTAACTCTATACATATAAAGAATTAATTTCCTATATATTGGAATACTAAACCCAATTTTGTAGCTTTAGTTTGTATAATTTATAATATGACTTTGTCTGTCTCAACAGTCATTACTTTAAAACAGAAAAGGAGAGGGAATTTTGTTGATATATCAATACAATAAAGAAAGTAAAAAAACCTCAAAATTTTATGTTAAATATTTAGTTAAAAAGTGAACTCTTTCGAAGGTTTTCTATTTATTATTGAAACACCAATCAAAGTGGAAGTTGGTAAATCTTTGATAAGGCAAAATTAAAATTTTTCTCATTGATAATTCAAAATCATTAAAATCAAGTCATGTTATTATTACCATTATCATTGTAATTAGGAAAAGAAGGATAAAGACAGAGACCAGAAAATGGAACAGTTGAAAAAGAAGCTAAAAACTGATGATGATTGTAAGTTTGATGAAATATTTACATTCCAGTCCGTAAGAAATTTATAAGAAATAGGAGGCAGTTGTTTAGTTATAATCTTATCTTGTGTTTTCTATCATTATAACTGTATGCATAGGTATTTCTGTAACATACTCCAAAATTTGTGAAAATGTATTTACTGATTGTAGTGTTATTTTCTTTAAACTTTATATTCAAAGCCAAAAAATTAAGTTGATTTTAGTCAGCAAAAAATATGAAGAGATCTTTTACTAGTATATTTTAAACGTTTGAATATATAGTTAAAAAAAAAACTTATAAAACAACTAGACTATTTTGTTTCACCTTTGAGAAGTAGTACTATATAACAGTGAATGTTCATCTTACATTAATTTTCAAAGTAACTTTAACATGTGATTTTTTTTATCCTCCTTAATTTAGTGAACTGGGTTGATCATTCAAAAACGTTGAGGGAGCAAGGTATAAGTGAAGAAGAAACTCTTTTACTGAGAAGAAAATTCTTCTTTTCGGATCAAAATGTTGATTCTAGAGATCCTGTTCAATTGAATTTGTTGTATGTACAGGTATGTGTATTTTAGATTGATTGATTTATAGATTGAAAGATATAGAGATGATGTATGAGAAAAGTATAGTTTATTGTGCTAGATTTTTATACTGTTATAAAATAAAAGTTATTGTTATTAACCTTGGTATTTAATTTTTAATATGGTGTGTTTTTACTTGTTTGAAACTAACAGTGAACAGTATAAGTTAGCATACATTTTTTTGTCCAAAGGTTTTGTTGGAAACGTAATTACACACTGCTTGTTTGTTGTGTATACAGGAATTAAGACGAGACATTTATTACATACAGTATATAATAATTACTTGTTTTCTTCTTTAGTGTGATTCATATTCAACTTCTGTAAAGTCAAAAATCTTTCTATAGACTTCTTTAACATTTAGCATGTATATCATACACTTCACTTAAAACAAAGTTTTTAAAAGTTCCATATTTTTCATTGGGACGTGGGCTGGCCCAATGGTAGAACTCTAAATTTCAGGGCTGGCAAGCCAGTTTCAAATCCAAGCAACAAATTATTCCCCACACTTTAACCATGGCTGGATTATATGAGTGACAGTTAGTCCCTTAGTGTAGGTGGTAGGATGCTGCTGACTGTCTGCTTTTCTTCTGGCAAGTAGTTCAAAATAGGGATAGTGGCAGATAGCCTCAGTAGCCTTCCATAAATACAATGGTGTTTTTTGAGTAATAAATTATTGCATATTTATTTTGCAAATATGGATTTTCATATAAAGGTCCTTCTTAAATGTATGCATTTGTGTATTTTTGCAACATAGTACTAGAAAAGAACATTAGTTTTAATGAGGATTTGAGTGAAATAAACAAAGAAAAATGATATTTTTATCACTCTTTATTGCCTTTTTTTTTCTCAGCTATTTATTTAACGATTGAAGATCTGAACATAAAATGTGTATTACTGTTTCACAGAATACTCTGAACTATACTAAACTAATGTAAAATATGATTAATCTTACTAAAGGTCCAATATTTATGTGCTGAGAAAACAAACAGTGTGCATTAACTGAGATTTGGAAAACAAACATCTGTTGAATATTCAATGTTGTATATGAAATTTTTACTTATGATTTTGTCATAAGAATTAAATAGATTCAAAATGCTAGGTTGTGGAACATATAATTATGGTTATAATAGGCTGTGGAGCTGAGAATTACTTGTGATCAGTAATGCCATGGCCGAGTAGTATGTTCCATTGGTTAGCAGACTAGACTGTAGAGCTGGGGTGTTGTTGTTAACACAAAAAAATCACACTTTGGAACTATGGATTCATTATATGAGTGATAATTAAATCCTGCTATTGGGTATGATAAGAGTAGCCCAAGAGTTTGGCAGTGGATAGTATTGACTAAATGCTTTCCCTATGATTTATCACTCCAAAAGTAGAGACTACTAGTACAGATAACCCTTGTATAGTTTTTTGCATCAAATTCTTCAAAAAATTAAATAAATATCCTTGACTGAAAAACCCGACATTACCCATTCAACATAAATCTGTTAAAAAGACTTAAGAAGTTAATCTGGGTTTTTTTTTTAGGCGAGAGATGCCATTCTTAATGGGACGCATCCAGTAACAATTGAACAAGCCTGTAAGTTTGCTGGAATCCAGTGCCAGATTCAGTTTGGAGATCACAGTGAACTAAAACACAAGCCTGGCTTTCTTGAGTAAGATAATAAATTAAAGTTTATCTAAAAGATAATTTATTACTCACTTTAAAAGCTGTTTTTGTTTTTTAGAATAATGCCAGATTAATCATAACTTTCTTATTTTAAAAACAACTTACCAAAAAATGAAATTGAAAATGTCTGTAAATATTGGAAAACAGAAGGTTAAAATTTTTTATTGATGATTATAATACTTAGATTATATGTTTTTAGACATATTTAAAGTGAGATACAGATAAAAAAAAACAATTTAGTAAATATCAAAAATGTAAGTTTTCAGTGAATTAAAAGACACTCTTCAAGGCATAAATAAAATGTACACAAGAAAATATTATACTATTTATTTTACGTTAATGGAGATGATGGATTACACAAACAGTTATATCTTTGTTTACTTGCTGTTGAAACTTAATTTGTGTTTTTGTTTGTTTGTCTTTCAGCCTCAAGGAGTTTTTACCAAAAGACTATTGGAAAATAAAGGGAATTGAAAAGAAAATATTTTTGGTAAAAAGTTTATGAATATTTAGTTCAAAAGGTGTTTGTAATGAAAATTATAGCTATTTTGTTGCATTATTGAATAGTATTTTAGCCACAAGTGTGTGTGTGTGTGTTTGTTCATATAAAACTAAATCTGAATACCAGTTCTTTATCTACTCATATATTGTGAGATATATAAAGATAAAGCTCAGATATTAACAATACTAATTAAGCTGTATCACTGGGGAATAAAAAAATTAAAATTGAAGGTGGAAATTCTATTACAAATCTCTAGAATAATCTACACGGATTTTATCTTTGTTTTGAAAATATGTAAAGCCTCAAATGGTTTTCAGTGTGATTACAGGGAGTATAATTTTTTGTTTTATGGGATTTAGAACTCTAAAAGTGGTGTCATGTAAAACAAAATTGAAGGCATTTTTGAAGGTACGGAGAACCACAGGTTTTGAAAATTTGTTGAGGAATTATGTTTTGTGTTCATAACATGCTACTTAGCAATTGACTATACTAATTTGGTATCTGTTTATTTTAGTTACAGGTAGCTAATCAAGTGAAATGCACCAGGTACATAAAGGAAAATAAATTAATCTCAGCTCTATAAACACGGTTAAGAAACCTAATATATAAAGTGTAAAATAAAACTTCTCTATTAAGTGTTGTTGTTGTTGTTTTTTTAATGTGCTTAGGTATTGATACTGAACTAGTATCTATCATAATTGTTTGTCTTCATATTTGTAATTAAACTGGTGTTGGAAAAGATTAAGGACTTACTTTGTCACTCGAAACATTGCTGTTGTTACATGAAAATAAATAATCAAATGTGTTTGTGCATTTAGTAATATTTGCTTTACATGCATCACCAGCTACTTAAATATATTATGTTAGGCCAATTATAAAAATATTAGTTTCTCAGGTACTTCCCTGAAAATGACAGTCTCAAAACATTGCTGTTGTTACATGAAAATAAATAATCAAATGTGTTTGTGCATTTAGTAATATTTGTTTTACATGCATCACCAGCTACTTAAATATATTATGTTAGGCCAATTATAAAAATATTAGTTTCTCTGGTACTTCCCTGAAAATGGCAGTCCTTCCAAGAACATTTTGCTAAGTGAACAACTGTATGTAGGTTTGTAAGTTATCTAGTAGGTAAGTTTACATATTTCACTTGTTTTTATATTTGTAATATTTCTGTAATGTCTTAGGATATTTCAATTCTGGTCTGAATCATCAGCCATTCATATCCAGCATATATGTAGACCATATTCTGGTTCTACATTTTGGACACAGATTCAGCCAGATGGAAATCACTATAAAAAGAATTAGGCCACAAATGATAAGCATAGCAAAGGGAATCTATTCATAGCCACAAGCTCAACCTCATGACTCCATTAAATATATTGAGATAGGCTTATTTACAAGATCAGTCATCAGAGGCCAGGTGCAATATACAATTTGTATGTCTGGGATTTAAAACACAGTATCATTTAATTGTGTACAGGTATTTGTCATTGATTACAAAAACGTGACGTGTTTCACACATGTGAATGCTGTTTATGATGTTTATTGCAGACCAGGTTTAACAATGTGCATTACTAATGTTTGTACACAGTCATAACAGGGACTAATTATTGAAATTTACATGAAAGTGATATATACACCCTTGTATGATACACGCTTTACATTTTTTTATCTGCATTAAAAAGAAAATGAGTGTTTAAAGTAATTAAATGGTGTTGCTACAGTTAGATTTCATAAGTTGCATGCATCACCTAGTGCGTAATCTTATTAAATCAGGGATTCTCAAGCTTTTGCATCTCAAGACCCCCTTAGTTATTGGGCATAGTAGTAAAAGCCCACATTTATAGTTATTTACTCATTAATTTAGGGTAGTCACAGTTATCCTGGTCCACAGCAGCCTATAACTATATGTCTCGGAGCCCACTGGTTGAGAATCATTGATGTAAATCACTAATCTGTTAGTAATATTTCCTTACATGTGGTTATCATTCTTGTTAAGTGTGTTTACAGTTGATTTCTAGATGTAGAATTCTTATTTCTATAACCCTAACATAATGTATGAAATGTCTCAAGCCATGGGCTATTGTTTTTCCAGTGAATGAGTCAACAGTGGGTTATTTGTACACCAGAGCAGTGGACTGTACATTGTGACATGCTACTATGGGAACTAAATACACTTGAACTTGGTTAATCAGTTTGAGTACTTGAGTTGAAAACACACTATACATGTGAAATTTGCCATTGATTGATTGAAAAATAGTATAACTCAGACTATGTTGTGCTTAAAAATAGTTTTATTTTGTTATTCATTATGATTTTAAGTATTTCTACGACAAACTTGACAAATGTTATATCTCTCTTTTTCTGTGTGTGTGTGAGCCTTACAAATATCGTCATCGTTTAATACACGAAAGTTCAGTTTCTTGTTAGTTTCTTTGGATATTTTAATTTATTCTTCAGCTTGTAAGTTGTAGAAAGATTGTTCATACTGTTGAAAATACATGATTATTATTCTGTTCTACATAATATTGGTGAATGATACCTAACTTTCTGTGTTCAAGTAAATTATATATATATCTACAGTTATGTTTTCCATTAGGAACACAAAACTTGCTTACGTCTCAGTGAAATTGAAGCTAAGGTGAAATACGTGTCACATGCTCGTTCTTTGAGAACATACGGAGTTACCTTCTTCTTGGTAAAGGTAAGCATGTGTTTAGAGATGTTATAATTTCTTCTTTCCGTTGTTTTGTCGAGAGTTGTTTTCTATATAGGCTGATCTGTATTCAAAGCATGTTACATAATGTTTCTGTTATTAGGTAATTATATCTAAAAAAAATTTAGTCTGTCACTTTTGAAATCTTTAAAAAAAAGTTTGTATACAAGAAGAGTAAAGTTCATTTCATATTGTTGTCAATGTCAATGATTTTCAGGAGAAAATGAAAGGCAAAAACAAGTTAGTACCTCGCTTGCTTGGAGTAACGAAGGATAGTGTTCTAAGATTAGATGAAAAGACTAAAGAGGTAAGTGAAAATATGAAATTACATTTGTTAATGAAAGTTGTATGAAGCATTACCTAAGAAATTCAGGTAAATTAGTTCAAACACAGGCAGAGATCCATTAGTGATGATGTTGTCTTTATTTGTATCTCAGCTTTTCTGAGCTAATTAATGTATTAAATACCAAAAATAGATAAGAAAACCAATCTGTCATTTAATTCACTACTTGCCACTGAGTTGATACCAGTTTTGCAGAATTCCACCCCTCATCAGTAACCCTGGACAATATCAAATTAAAAAGAAGATTAGGATTCTTATAGTGATAAACTGTGTATTATATGTATGGTGTTTTATTTGTCTGTCAATTACCACAGTAAATAAAAGAGAACTAAAAACATGATCTATATAATTTATTAAACAGTTTTGAACAAAGAAAACACTACATTTTGTGAATGAGTTAGTTTTGTGTATTGAAAGAGTCTTAAGAAACTATGTATATATCTCTGAATTTATTTATTTTTACTGTCAAGAAATAGACTATAGCTTTTGTTTCAGTAAAATGTTTAGCATGCATCATGTTAATGCAATATAATATGTTTTCTGTACATTCTAGATTTTAAAAACTTGGCCATTAACTACAGTTAGAAGATGGGCAGCATCTCCAAACAGTTTTACTTTGGTAAGTTTGAATCTGTTGACTAAATATATAATGATCATTATAGAATTTATATTTCATCGAAGGATAGAATTAAAAGGTAGTTCCAATATAGAAACAGAACTTGCAAACTCAAATGGTTTTGTGCATTGTTCTATTTATTAAAGGATTAAATTACTGTGTTTTAAAACAATTTTATGGTTTATTGATGTTATTTTTTCCCACAAATGTCAGGTTTTCAAAAGATGTGTTAAAGACCTAGTCTATCTTTTTTTTTGACCAATTTTCTGAGTTAGACTAGTTTCAGATCATATCTATCTTCCCTTGATTTGGCACAAGTACTCAAAAGATTAAACATAATCCCTGTTTCAGACAGTGCATTTAATTTATTGGTGACTGAACAGTATGCTTCAGTGCTTATAACACTAAAAAAAGAAAAAAGATATTTTGCATGTAGCCATCATATGGTTCCAAATACAGCCAAAAGTTATCATGCAATTTTATTAATCAAATTTTGAATTACTTATTCTTAGGTAATAAATTCATCAAAGTGAGAAAACAAACTGCTTAACAAGGATATAAATAATGAAATAAAATTACATTCAGTCGAAAAAAAGCTAACAGGAAGATTACATTCCCTCATGTTAAGTTGCATTTCTTCATGAATTGTTTTTTATTTAATCCATGCAATATGTTCACTTTCATTGGTCATAACTAAAGGAATACGGAGGGACCATGCTTTCTCAATCGGAAAACCAACTAAAAATATGAAATTCTTCAAGCAAAGTTAAATTAGTCGAGGATGCGGGAATGTAATATTTTGATCCCTGCTTAATTGTGAAAGTATGTGTCATGGTTTATTCAAGTATTTATGCAATAGCTTTGTTTTTGTATTTCCTCAAGGACTTTGGTGACTATTCTGATGCTTATTACTCAGTTCAGACAACAGAGGGCGAACAGATCTCTCAACTTATTGCGGGATATATAGATATTATTTTAAAAAAGGTATGATCTATTATTACTTTACATTTAGCACTTTTTTTTAAGGAGAATGGTAAAAATTCTCAATTATTTGAATCACAGTTTAAGTGCGTTAACATATTTGTGTTATATATATATATATATCAATGCTTCATACTAATATTTTAAAATTGTTAAAGTTAGAAGCTCTTTTTAAATTTGTTTTAATGTTGAATCTTGATGTCATTAAGCTAAAACTAACACTTGTTAATGTAATTTAACTTTTAGAAATTGATATGTATCTTTCATTTTTAGCAAAAATCCAAGGACCACTTTGGAATTGAGGGGGATGAAGGTTCCACAATGGTAGAAGATAGCGTATCTCCTGCAAAGTAAGCTTGTGTGTGTTTATTTTTCAATGTAGTAGCCGAAATACTGCTCAACCACATCAATTAAAAACTTAGAAATATGTTGCATGCTACTGTGTCGCATTGATCAGATAATTTAGCAACTGTAAAATTCTTATTATGAAAAAATGATACCTGTTGAATATTAAGATGTAAATTCATGAGTTATAGAGAAAATTATCTTTTAATTATATTTGATACTTAAATTACATAACATGCTTTTTCTACTCCAAGCTTTCTAAGTCTAAACATGGTTGTCATGCAAGTGTAATTGTATTTTGTGATTATGTGTGTGTTTTGTATTTGTATGAGCATATTCTTCTCATGTTTCTCTTGATGTGTTTTAATGTTGAATCTTGATATTTGTATTAAATGATTATAAAACTCAAACTAGTCTTATCTTCTTTTTTTTTATAAGCAAGTCTGGTAACTTTCAAAAACTTCATCTATTTTAGTATTTCATACAAATGCAAAAATATTTAATCTTGTAGTCGTATATTTCAAAGACAGATTTGTGATTTTGAATTGTGTAGTAAAGTAATGCAGTGTAAATACACAAACTTGTTTGTAGAAAACATTCGACTCAGCCTGGCATGCAAGAAATTGACAAAATTTTGATAAAACTTCAACTGTATTACATAGAGCCTAGCTTTTAAACTTATTTCCTGTGCATGGCCAGGTGGCTAGAGTGCTTGACTCGAAATCTGAGGGTCGCGGGTTCGAATCCCCACTCCACTAAACACACTCGCCCTTTCAGCCGTGGGGGCATTATAATGTGTGGTCAATCCCACTATTCGTTTGTAAAAGAGTAGCCCAAGAATCGGTGGTGATGACTAGCTGCTTTTCTTCTAGTTTTTCACTGCTAAATTAGGGATGGCTAGCGCAGATAGCCCTCGTGTAGCTTTGCGTGAAATTCAGAACAAACCAAGCCAATTTTCTGTACTTCACTGTTATCAGACATTTAGTTGATATGATTTTGGCTTATTTGTATCACCTGTATCAGGTAAATGGCTTTGGCTGACTTTTATAACCATATCTAGTAAATTGTTTTGGCTAATAGCATTTTTAGAAATTATTTTCACTTTTGGCGGTGATTATTTTATAATTTAAAATCCATATGCTAGCAAATGTGCTGAAAGTTGTGATACTAAAACTTTGGATGTTATGCCTAAGCCAGTCTAATGAGTTTAGTTATTATAATAATAAAATGCTGGCCCGGCATAGCCAGGTGGTTAGGGCACTCGACTCTCAATCCCGAGGGTCGAAGGTTCGAATCCCTGTCACACCAAACATGCTCGCCCTTTCTGCCATG